GTGTGAGTGAACAGTAAGACCACAACCTGCACCTTCAGACAACGACTTTACCCTGAAGATGAAGGCTAAGCCAAGAAGATCAATTAGATATTATCATCACTACCTAACAGATGGGATTTAAGTAGAGGGCAAAAACTCTAATCTTATTTAACTTTGTAGTTGTAGAGGAGAGTTTACTCTCTGGAACAGCTTTATAACCAGGATTTGTAGTAAGGATGATCAAACTATTAAAAAGTCATATAAGAATAAATCTCTGAAATGCCAGGTACATAGTTTTTGCATTGTTTGTCTGTCTTTTGATGTTTGCAGCCTGAAGGTCATAGCTTTAATATACCACTGGTGTTATATCATGTTTATAGACCAATAGACTGATTCCTATCGACCAATCGTATCACAGCTGTGGCCTGTTTTTGAAAAGCGATTATCTCCAAATTTCTTTGTCACAAATTCTCAGATAAGAGTGATATTATTTTTATTGTCCATCTTCTTATCAGCACATTGTACCTGCTTGTTTAATTTCAAAGCACAGAAAATGCTTTATTTTTTTTTTCTAAAAGCCAGCCACTGTCTCTGACAAGGACAGAGACAGTGAGTGTGATCATATCTGGTTGTCACATTGTCATAAATTTTATATGAGGCTTTGGATTTTAACTCATAAAACTCGCACACGCATCAACCGAAAAGAGGTGCCAACTCTTGATTCAAACATTGAATAAGCAATAAAATAAAACTGCGATCTTAGTCTGCAATATTTTGTGCTTTGCAAACCAAATAAAACTAATAAACTCAGAAGGGAAAAAAAACAAACCATAGAGCAGCAAAATTACAAAATGTCTTAAAACGAAAGTCACATTTCCAAACTAAAAAGGGGCAGATTTCTAGAAAAGAAAATATGCCTTGGAGTGTTCCATGAGCACTTTTCCAGGTTAACCAAACAAGCTTCTCACATGGTAAAATAACATTATGAAGTTATAAAATGACCCATGAATCATTCAGATCCTAAACTCATGGGTCCCCATCGCCAGCCTGAATTATTCACTTTGATTCTGAAACATTTGGTCTCATTTGAGGAGCGATTTCTCATCTCGAGGAGCAATGAACAGTGAAGACGTGTGGTGGCAGGTTTTTTTGTGTGTTTATTTGTCAGTTACGTTACTGAAGTGAAGAGGGTGTACTTCAGAATGACAGCACTTTAGGTATGAATGAAAATACTTAAAACCACTTTTGAAGTGGCAGTTGACATTGCATTTATTCATTTGTTCATTTATTCTTGTGATTTGGATTTTCTCTATATCAAGCAGGTTCTGTGCGCTCAGTTGTTTATTGTTTTATTCAATTTGCAGTGTCCTCCAACCCCCGAAACCCTTGTGAAGTGAAGTACAGTGTGTACGCATACCAGGAAAAAGCGTAATAATATTTTGCCTTGTTAAAGATTTTGCTCATTGATTATCTTCCTTCAATGTTGTGCTGATAAAAAAAGAGTATTCTTCTAATGAAGAATGAAGTCATTATGGTCTGCTCAGTTGCGGTGGCTGTTGCTGCTCATTAAATTGCAATACTTTTTTATTTCTAAACTGTTGTTGCTTCTGCTGGAAACATACTAAATATGACCTCCCATGCTCCTCGGGGTTCCTAGGAAAGGCTATCCAAACACAAGGAAATAAAGGAATATTTTGACTTTTTGGCAAATATGCCCATTTGCTTGCTTTCTTGATGAAAGTTAGATGAAAAAATCTATACCATCTTCATGTCTGTATGCTAAATATGGGGCTGCAGCCAGGAGACAATTAGGTTGGCTCAGCATAAAGACTGGAAGCAGGGGGAAACAGCTAGCCTGGTTGTATGCAAAATTTAAAATAGCTATAAAAATGCTCATGGTCTACTGTCTCATTTGTTTAATCTGCAGATCTGTAAGTTTATGTATGGGAAGTTACATGCTGTAATTTTTTCTCTAGACTTAACCTCATGGTGAAGATAAGACTTAACCTAACAGAACAGAATGCACACACAATACAATCAATAAAAAAATCAGAATGAGACTTTTATTTATTATAGCAATTATTCATTTATCAGTATGTTCTCAATTTTTGTTTTTCCTCATAGGGAGCACCAAAAAGAGTATGCCCGAGGTGTGGTGGCGAGGTCCTGGGACTGATGAGAAAATGCACAGCTTCACAGGCAGTGCGGTGGACACCTACAGGGGTCCTTCCTATCCCCATGCTTCCATCTACATCCTGAAGCTGCGCTCCAAACAGCAGAACACCAGAGCTACTGTGTACCTCCATGAAGGCCTGGGTCCCTCTGGCACCTTCCCCCTGCTCCCAGCCGACCCTCGAGTTCACACATTAGGTGTAGGCATGACCAGTGTCACCCTCAGCTGGGCGCCCAGTGCCTCCATAACCAGCATCCCACACACACAGAAGAGTTATGATTACTGTGTCCTCGTCAACACGCAGCAAAACTACCCCAGCCTGTGTGCTGCACAAGAGAGCATGAGGAGAGAGAAAGATCAGAAACAAGAAAAGAAGGAGAGGAGGAGGAGAGTGACGGTGTGGCCGATTTTGAAAGAGTGGTGGTGGCAGCAGTGGGACTCTTACCCTGAACCCCAGAGTCCACCTTCTTCTTCTTCCCTCTCTGATGAGTATGCTGATCTGCAGTGTGTGTGCCAGGGTACAGAGAATGTTTGCACCGTCTCTGAGCTCCTGCCTGACACCCAGTACTATCTAGACGTCTTTGTGATCGACAAGCTGAACGGGACCAGCATGGCGTACGAGGGGACATTTGCTCGAACACACGAGGAGGCTCGGGCGGTGATCACCACGCTAAGAGAAGGGGAGCTGAGGTGGGTGACCTTCCAAGACAGAGGCTCCAGCTCAGAGCAGTTCTTCAGTTTCCGTCCTCGGGGCTTGCAGCAGAGTGGCCTCCTCACGTTGCAGAGCTGCGGTGGAGGTGAAAAGGTCAAGGTCACTGTGTCCAGTAAAGGTCAAGTTTTGACCTCACAGGCTGTGGGGGGAGATTTAGCGCACATTTGGCTCCAGGGAAGTCCTTCCTATCTCATTCACTTGGAGAGAGAAGAAACTACCATGGGTCGGACCTCTGCTGCTACAGATCCAGCTCTACCAGGTGGTCTGATGGCTTCAGTCAAAATGCAAACCTCCTCCGCCTACCACCGCAGAGGGGTCCCATCCCTGCCCTCAACCTTGCAGATTAAATCCTTCAACCGGTTGCGTGGTTGCAACAGTGTCACCCTGGCCTGGATGGGCACAGAGGAACGAAGCCTGTACTGTGTGTACCGCAGAAACCTGGGAGGCCTTGAAGCAGAGGCAGGACGAGTATCAGCTCTAACCGCGCCCTGTCTGGGTCCAGAGTCCCGGTCTGACACCGAGAGGGTTCTCTGCAAGTACTTCCAGGAGCTGAATCCTCGACGGGCCGTCACTACAGCTGTGATCGGGGGCCTGGAGCCAGGGATGGCTTATGTGTTTGATGTCTATCTAATGAGACGCTGGGGGATCCCTATCAAGTACGCCAGCAAGATGGTGAAGACCAGAAAGGAATGCTGAGCTGCTGCCCCCTACAGGAGGTTTTTAGACTGTCCCAGTTTAGGGAACAATGCATCAGCCATGGACATGCTGTAAAGACTGACCATGAGAACGTAGCCATTTGACTGTTGTGGAGAGACTGTTACCATAACATGGAAATATTCCCCCTGGAGGAGCAATGGTTATAGTCAAACACCACTTGCACTATCCATGCGAGTGGATGGAAAGCATATGAGAAGGATCTGAACACCAGCAAAAGTTCATAACATTTAAAATACAACTCTCGTGCTTTTTGTCATTTTGTTTTTCATTGTTGATCATGATAATGATGTGCCAGTTGTCCAAGTGCTTATTTTGTGTCTGAGTACAAAGGACAAATGAGGTTTGTGATGACAGAAAGTCAATACATAAACAACAACAGAGACTGTGCCAAATATGCAACAGAAACAGATGGGGAAATAATTGGATAACATCTGAGACAGGGGGTTTACAGTGTATATTTCCAGTGCTGCATATTGTACAGGCTTATAAACCTGTACAAATCTACAGATGCTTAGTTCAAAGTCAGTGTGTATCTTTGTGTTCTGCTTTCGCATGAAGCAGTGAAAAATACTTAGTGACTTGCCTCATTGTCTTTGATGTGTTCTTGTGCTGCTTCAAACGCACCAATAAATACTAGGGTATCTGTACGTTCTTGACTGAGTGATGCATGTATGTAAACTGGAACATCAAATTAGATTTTCTTGCCACCAAGTTGTTTTCAGATAGCTTACACTTTTACTGTAATAGATGAGGCCTTATGCAGCTCAGTGCTATACAGATCTGTGACATTTAATTTTAGGGAACTTGTTTATTTTGGTAACTAGATGAGGCTGCATTGGAAAGACTCTGGTTTAAATATTACAGGGAAACTAAAATATTGAATAACTGTGTCTTAAAGTGGCCCTGCCTTGTGAGGGTTATTTCTGAAAGACAAATCCTTCCCTTGGCTGTCAAGTTACTTATTCTAATTGCGTATCTATATTTACCGAGTAGAACCCCTAAGGATGAATAAGACCTCAAACATCATAACACTGTATTGGCTGTATAAATATGATACTGTAACCTTAATGTACTGTTAAATATAAGTTTAGTTAATCATAGATTTAGAATTTATGTTACAACAATGTAGGCTTAAAATTTAAAATGGAAACAGGGTAAAGGTTAAATAAACGTAATAATTTATCTATTATTAATCAGAACTGATTGTAGATTTATGACAGGCTTTGTTGAGCTTGATAGGTAAGCATTAACAGACTAACAAAAAACATACTGGCAACACAGTGAGAACGATATTTATATAATAATACAGATAAATAAGTAACGCTAAAAACTACTTCTACTTAACATAAAATTGAGTACGGTAGTGGGAACCAATAAGAGCGCGTTTGTGTTTGTTACGTAAGCACGTCGCTGTACGTATGGGTCTCTCTGACAGGACAACGCGCCAAATTGATACTGCCAACAAAGAGAAAACAGACTCATTTAGCTTCTGCGTAGTTAACCACAACACTTAGCTATAAACGTATTTTTAGACGTTTGAGATTAAACACTTCACCGGTCAAATCTCGGATTAACGTGCTCTGTCAGGATGGGTTTGCTCGAGCGGTGCCAGGAGCTCTTCAAGACCTCAAACCTGTACGAGGTGCTGGGCATCAACAAAGAGGCAGCCGAGGCAGAGATCCGGAGGAGCTACTACAAAGTGTCGCTGAAAGTCCACCCAGACCGGGCTCCCGAAGACCCGCTGGCCACAGAGAAGTTTCAGGTTAACCCTGCTAGTTGTTGGCTGTCAGACACAAACACAATGAACACAAGCTAGGTTTACTAGCAAGCTAACGCTGCTAATTTACGTAGCTGGAGGGAGTAACGTAATGTCCTATTTACCCCCAGTCTTACTTAAACTCCGATAATCTTATCATAGAGACGTTTTCATGCATTTGAGTTATCTGTAATGAAGCAGACGTGTTTTTGAACCTTTTTTCCCGCTGATGCATCGGCCAAATGCTAATGTGCTTCTTTTGTAGGAGTTTTGATATAACTTAATCGTAACTTGCTAGTTTATGTGCAAAATGCCTAACGTTAACTTATATGTTCTGAAAGCCCTTGTTTTTATGTTGCTGATTTTCCAGTTGTAGGAAAAAAGATCACAAAAATCCTACATCTGATCGCCACTAAATATCAACAGTAATGAAAACGGATTAATGTTGAGGAGGAGGATAAAATATTTGGTAATGCTTTATGTAATTTCATATCACAATAGTATACTGTCAATTGTGGCACACTGCATATTTTTACTGTACAACTGTATATCTTAGATCAAATAACCAGAACTTTTTGGCTGTTCAGTGAATTAAATACATGACAGATAATACTTCAAGGCATTGAATGCATCAATCCTGTTAATCCAGTAACACCTGCTCCATGATTGGCCATAATGTGCTAATATAACCAGATATATCAAAGGAATAGCTTCGAAAGTATAAAAGGCATTGAAAAATCCGACCATGCCTAAACCTAATACAGATGCTTTTTAAAGCTAATACTAACTAGTGTCCACATTATAGTAATAGTACCGTGAATCGCCACATCCTATTTTTATGTATATGTTTTTTTTCCCCCTCTAGGTGTTGGGAAAGCTGTATGCGGTGCTGAGCGATAAGGAGCAGAGAGCTGTTTATGATGAGCAGGGAGTGGTGGATGAAGAGTCTGACGCCCTGAGTCAAGACCGCTGCTGGGAAGAATATTGGAGACTGCTATTCCCTAAGGTATTGGAGCACAGGTTCTCTTTGTGTGATGTGACACGTGGAGTGTGTCAGGAATTTTATTTTAGATGATATACATTAAAATGAGGATTAGGGGGTATTGTGTCACTGCACCTGCCATGGTAAGTAAAAGCCAAATTAAATGTATCCAGCCTACCTTTTATATTAGTTAATTTGTTGCAGCATCATAAAATTAACACAATTTCATAGCCTTGACCAGCAACTGTCACACATTTCTTTTGTCCTGACAACCTGCTCTGTCTCTCCATCCATCTCCCAGATTACCGTGCAGGATATCCTTGATTTTGAGAAGAAATATAAGGGCTCTGATGAGGAGCGGCAGGATGTGATCCAGCTTTACATGCAGCACCAGGGAGACATGGACGCCATCACAGCCTCGACTCTGTGCTGCTCCCAGGAAGATGAGCCCAGGCTCTGCAGCATCATTCAGGCTGCCATTGACAGCGGCGATGTCACAGCGTTTCCAGCGTTTACTCGGGAAAGTGATAAGAAGAAGAGGGCTCGCAGGAAGAGGGTGAGAAATGTGTTGGTGTTTAAAAGCCACAAAATCCTCACTATTTATTTATCTATTTACACAGAATGTAAATGCTCCAGTATCGTACGACTTCGTCCAGTCTCTGTAATGTAGTCATTGCAATTGACCTTCCAGGCTGATAGAGAGCGACAGGAAGCAGAAGAAATGCAGAAAGAGATGGGGCTCGGTGAGCAGGATGACAGTCTCGTGATGATGCTTCAGGTAACGAATGCATGTGCACATGTATAAAATTGGCTAGGGTTTGTTTGTTTTTCTGCTAATAACCATCCTTTCTTTCTCATAATTTTCCAGCAAAGACAGAAGTCCAGAGAGCAGAATTTTAATGGTTTCCTGTCTGACCTGGAAGCAAAATACTCAAAAAAAAGTGTGAAATCCCAAAAAGGAAAAAGAGGAAAGAAGTGAAAAGCAGATAGGCTCTGGTTATAGCAGATATCCTCATTTGTTCAAAAAACCCCATCTTTTTAGAAGAGCATTTGAGTACATGTATGCATTGGCTCCCTTCTGTATGCCTCCTCACAAAATTGTCGTTTATCCAGCCTCAGAATCTTTTTATGTAGTGCTTATCAAAATGTAAATGAATCTTTTATTTCTTGTCTTTTGTTGTCAAAGTCTTCATAAAATACAAATAAACTCATATTTATATACATTTTTACATTGCTTTTTATTATTTTGTATAAAATAGAATCACAGAAAATGCATGGAAGCAAAGCCTTTGATTTTCAAGCTTTGTCATCTTTGTAGCATTGCTGTCTGATATATATTATTTTAATAATGAAAGAAGGGAAAGCTGCCCTTGTGCAGTAATCCTGACGTTAAATGTCAAAGCATGCCCTAAATGGCTTTGCTCAGGTAATATGGAAAAATTAATTACCACAAATACAGCATTGTGTACAGACACAATGTATCTATAGTTATTTACATAGGTTCCTATCAGTGCCTCTTGTATTCATACATTATCTTGAGGTGTAGTAATAAAAGCACATGGGCTGCATCGATGTTCTGTCAGTGCTTATATAGCCACTGCATTTCCTCTTCTGATCACTACAATTTTAACTGAGCTGTAGTTGAGAGAAAAGCAACCAAAACCCTGCAAGGTGGCACTCCTGTTCTTGTTTCTGGGGGCAATGAGAGGCTCTGGGTCAATTTATTATTTCTACACAGGGCGGTGTCCTTATAAAAGATACAGTACCAAACTCTCTGATGTAGCATCAAAGAGGGGGAAAAGTGCTTTGTATCCTCTATCCCTGTCAGGGTGGATGTGTTATTCCCTGCATAGTCATTTACCAGTACAACACACCACAGAGGATAATATACAGTACATTCACATAAATAAAGTATATATATATATATTAAAAAAACATCAGATCATACATACATACATAGTAGAAATGTCCACGCATAAAGCTCATACACTACACATGAAGATGGTGTTACTGTTTGGCAGCCACATAAGCTGATTTCTGAAATACAAAAATAGGCCTATAACAAAAACTTCACCAAAGGAGCATAATAATATGAAAAAATCTGCTACTTCTTTAAAAAAAAAAAAAAAAAAAACTTTTGTGGGCACAGATGCTGCAGTGTTGCACTTTGTTGTATAAAGGTGAATGGCTGAGGGGTCTGGAGATCAGAGGCAAACTACAAGCCAGGTCTGCTGGCTCTGGATGAGATGCCTCCCCGGGTGTAAGACCGAGGTGGGACAGACACAGGTACCAGTGGAGCTATGGGAAAGAGGAAGGATAAAAAAGGATTTTTAAGAAAATACAAGTAAGTAAATCTTACTTGAAACCAGCTGCTGCAACCTCTTTCATTCATAGTTTATCCAAAAACCAAGTCTGGAAGAGTTTCGTCAGCCACTTTAATCTACTGACCTGGGACAGGGGCTTGTGGGTCCGGTTCTTCTTCGTCTTTGATGGGCGAGTGCCCTAAGGGGTGGTGGGAAAACGAGTCCAAGAAAGATGTGCTGCTGATGCCAATACTGATGCCGGTCACACCGATTCCAAGAGAGTCTGGTGGAATGATGAAATAAATGGATGCAAAAGTGATTTACTGATGTACTACGAACCACTGCATTGTATCACATCCCTTTTCCAGCAGCATTTCCTATGTTACTGTTCTTATGTACTATTCAAGTTGAATTCCTGACCTGTGCCCACAGAGGCTCTGCCTGGCCGCCCCTGCCCGATGTTGTCCAATACTGTGAAGGAACGACGGTACGGTGTGTCCGACTGAAAACAAAACCAGGGATGCTCAAACCACTAAAAATCCAAATGGTCGTTGATCATAAAATACAGAATATTAACTATGCAAATTCATTACTTGACATTAAACAATTCTCTTAATAGAAAGGAACAAAATCACTGACCACTTGTGATAGTATGCTCCATGCGTATGCAGGATTCTGGTATGATAACATAATATTAGCATCTTACCCTGTATGTGTGAGTGGTGTTGGGGCGAGAGAAGATGTCCAGCAGGTGGTGACGATCCCTTGGTATTGAACCGCCAGCTTCGTCGTTTATAGCACTGTGGGCGCGGCTGGACGGGCCTTTGTGACGCTAGCCAGACAGAAAAAATTGACAAATGCCCAGTCTTTTAAACGGCTGTTCACAGGTGCATTTGAAAAACTGACCACTGGATTTCATAAATGCTACAGTACTTTTGTTTTTAGGCTGTACAAGTTCTCAGCTGGAGGGCGGGGCCCCCTGGAGTTGCGTAGAGCCACTTTAGGGGGATTGTGTATGTTGAGCAGAACTAAACTTGCATGCATATGATTCATGTGGTTGTGGTTGTTGTTGTTAATTGTCAATGACTGATAAAAATTAAATCCACTTTTGCTGGCAGGCGGGGGCTTCTAAAGGGGGGCGTGACAGAAAAAGTTTGAGAACCACTGGTTTAATCTCACATTTTGAGGATACTAGATTTCTAGAACCTATTATCTATTCAGAAAGCCTTCATTTAATCAGCGTTTCTGTTGAGGTGCTGTATTGAGTTTTTCATTGTCAGTGTAGTTGTGTTTCAGTGTTTTTATACTGTACCTGTGCAGGTTTGGACTGCTGCCCTGAGTGAGATGCATCTGGGTCTCCGGTGCTGATGGGGGGAAGGAGTGTGTTCCTGCTCAGAGGCAACAGCGGAGATGTTAGGCGGTCGCTGGCTGTGGGTCTGTAGAAGAAGACACACATTGTTGTATGCTGTATCTAGAGCTCTAATATATACTTCTCTCTGAAAAGACCGTGGGTGTAAGGATGAAAGTCACAGTTAGAATTTTACTTCTTGTGATGATGTAGATACTTTTTAAAATAAAGAACAAATGTCATTTGTAGATAATGGTTGTATTAAGTGCTATATCGGCTCAGTGCTATAAAAGGTTAAAAGTTATACCTCCCCAGATAGAATTTGACAACCAGGATGCTATGGTGACAACGCTGTGATATTTAATGAATAGTTTTGACATTCAACATGAAAGGAAAACTAAGTGGCACACTTTACACTATTACTCTTTCACCTGCAGTTCATGACAAGTTCATCTGTGAAGTTGTTTTCACATATGAAACTTCTATCCACACACACACACACACGTTCTGCTGCACAGAGCCATCAGGCACAAGTTGAAAGGAAGTCTGTTTTCAAAGTAATCTTTTGCTGCCGCTGCGCAACTTCAGAGACCGTAGGGAGGGAGTAAAAAGCAAGATACAACTTTGGGTGGGGTTGGTGTGGATCCCATGGTGCTAAAACTCACAGTCGTGTCCCACGGATGACCTCGTCCATGGATCCCACTGCGCTGGACTGACTCAGGCTGGGAACCAGTGGCAGGAGAGTTCGGGGAGGAGGGTTTCGGCGTCGGGCAGACTGTGCAGGGCGGGACAGCGAGGAGGAGCTCTGCTCCAGGGTTCGGCGAGGCCGTGGTTTGCTGGAGGGGGCCGCGCTGGATCCCGGCCTGTGACACGCGCGCTCTTCTTGCTCGCTGTATGGGAAGGTGAGAATGGAGCACAATCGATGAATGGTGCATTTCCACCTGCTGCCAACTGACAGCATACTCTGCCAAACAAGGTGTTAAGACCAGGGACAAAACATGGCAAGAGTGAGGCTATGTCCCTTTTGTTTAGCAAAATCCTGTTTACCAGTAAATGGAAAAGAAGAACTACAAGACATCTATGCCTTCCAGTTAAAAAAAATAAAAACACAAATATACACAAATTTGTGGTGGATGTGTTGAGCCCCTGCTTTTATTTTTCCATTTTAACACCAACGCTTATTGGTTAGAAGAGTAAAATGTGTCCATACTGATTTCTATCCAGCACACCCAGGTTCCTCTGCTGCAGGGGGATGCTGTGGATCACGATGAGGTCGTTCAGGTTGTGCTGGGTCGCTGCTGCTCCTACCGGGACCCTTCCAGCCTGGGGAACGGTGTAACAGAAAGGGGAGAAAGTAATGAGACAGAGGGATGGTGGGGGAAGGTAAAGGAGAGGGATGAAAGGAAAAGACAGGAATGATTAAGGGGGCAAGGACAGTGAGAGGTAAGAGGGGACAAGAGACATAATATAGGCCAGCGGTCACATAGTTAGTTAATTCCTTATGTACGATACAGCATATTGTCAATTCATGCAGTGATGTCAGGACGACCCCATATCAGCTATGCTACCAACCAAAAACATTCATAAGACTTACACTGCCACAAAAACAATAACTAACAAAAACAAAGCATTCCGACATTCTTGCTGTGAAGGAAAAGAAAGATCTAAAGAAAATCAAAGTTCATGTTGTAAATAAATTGCAGTTAATTAAAAAGATAAACAGCGGTGAAGCTTTTGTGTTAATCAACAGGCGCAAGCACATTTATTCTAGAGGTAAAGACAATGAGCCGCCATGGACGGCGTGCACACAACACGCCGCCATTTTGGCTCAAAGTGAGGGAGTTACATACAGTGGAAGGCCTTTTCTGCTTTTTGGATTTCCGTCTGGACTTGTGCTTTGAGCCCCTTGACTTTGTGTTCTTTAAAAGAGGAAAAAAGGCATGACCAAAGAAAAATAGTGGGTACGGAAGAAAGGAATGGTAAAGAAGGGTAAAGAACATAGAGGGACAAAAAGAAAAACAGAGAGAAAGAAAGAAAAATAATGAAGGTAAAAAAAGACAAAAGAAACAGGAGGTACACATGAACACATTGGCAAGGTGAAGGGCAAAGAGTAAAGAGGGAAGGAAAGAAAACAGTGATATAAGTTAATGAACTGGAAGCACCAAAAGACTGAAAGAGCAACAGACAGGAGTGAAAAAGTGTGACAATCAAGTGTGGACTGTGGAACAGACATGTGACTCTAAAGTCAGTGAAGACCCCATGTATAGTATATATATCCTAACGTTATCTTATTTTATCAGCGTTAAATATGTTTCATGACATCAGTTAAAAGGCGCTGATAGATAGATTTTTAAAAAGAAAAATAAACAAACAGAGATTTTGAGTTTTGGATTGACCTCCTGAGCTACTGACAGTGATGAAAGTGAAATGAGGCTCACAGTAACCTCCCCTGCTGCCTCTCAGTCCCCCCCCCCAGACCACTGACCTGGAACTGCAGGCCAGCTGTGAGCGGGGGCACCCTGCTCTGGCCAAGTTTGGGCAGCATCGTGGGCAGCATGGAGAGCAGCATGAAGGGATTCTGGGAGTCTTGCTGCTCAGGGCTCAAGTTCCCTGAAATCTTTTCATCATCTGCCAATCACACATACACAATCACTTTCAAACACCGTGCATAAGAAAGGACATTTGTTGATATAAGTCAGGGCTAATGCGTGCAAAATAGCTTAATTCAGCCCTACTTGAGGTGCAGCATTCCCAGTGGCGTTGAACTAGCTCTTTCATCCATCCAACCAGCTGCCACCACACATCATCAAACAGCAGGTCGAGAACAGCTTGACGGCGACACTGATGTGGCGAGACAGGGGGCAGACAGTGATGCTTCCGACCCGAGTTCGGACAATCCTGCTCCCACTCGTCTTCCCTGTAGACGACACACAGATATAGAGAATCATTTTAACAAAACTGAACAATACCTTGACAACAACTGAGGTTTCGATTTCGTTTCTGGAATAAAAATAATACTGTGTCGCATTAGGGAAAGTGAGTAACTCACAAGTCCCTGCTATCAAAAGCCAGGTACTCCTCCATCAGACCCTCCACTTCAATCACTCTCGGCATGTCATGACTGCTGGAGCTACCGGAGGAGCCAGGAGGCCCATCCAACTCTGCTGAGGAGGACTTGATCAGCGCCGCTCTCCTGCCCTGCACGTTCAACCTTTCCAAACAAGACATGGGCACACACAGTTAAGCACCTTAACATGTAAACATAGTATGGTACGCTCACAGACACAACGCAAAATGTTAATTAACAAATGAAAATGCTTTGAGAAAGGTTTCTTTGCCCAATATGAAAACCTGCAATTCAATGGAAATATACAAGAAACATCTGTGTTGTCAAAAAAAAGTAACTTAAACTAAAAAAAAAAATAAAAAATAAAAAAAAGCTACTGTTTACTGCATTTTATTCTATTATATTTTTATACTCTGAATTGTCACTGCCCACCTGAATTTGTGTTTCCCTCAATATAAATAAACATTTCCACCACAAATTAGTGCAGAAAACGTCTCCAGAATGCAGGAAATTCATTTAATTCAAAATTAGTTTCAAAATCTTCTGGTGGAAAAATCCCCAGACCCCCCAATTGTCTATTTCATCAATAAATATTTTTCGAAATAGTATTAGAATATATTCTTTTCCTTGTTCTCGTGACCCAAATCTTGTGCAGTGTCATGTCTCGTGGGCTAAGTGTTTCATCACACCACTAATCTAAGCCCTCAAAGGTCCCCACCACTTTTCAACACAAAGTGATGCCCTTAACTATTCCATCTGTACTGAGACTAATTCCACCAGCCTAGCCGGTTGGTAATAAAAGCAGCTTGAACTTGTATGATTTCTATAAATAATAAATAAACTCCAACTGATAACTCCAGGCTCAAAAGCAGATGGAAAACCATGACACAAACTTTTACAATATGCAAATGCATGCACAAACTCACACTAACACATTTCATGAGTGACATTAATACAGACACATAGTATTGTCCATCCTCTTCTTTTGTGTTAAATCCATTATTAAATTCAGTTTTGAGTAGTTAGACAGTGGCACTGCCTCCTTTACAACCAGTTTCCCATCAAAAGTGGCAGTCCTAGCAACTGTTCACAGATAGCCAACATGACTTTGACCCAGAGACTTGATTAACAAGTCAGAGCATCTAGGTCACAAAACCACAGAGTCAGCCACAACTCCTCTATAATTGATGCACTGACATTAGCCAAGAGCCACTCGAGACAGAAAGGCGTAATATTTCTAACGCTTTTTTAAAATTCTTTCTTTTTTTCCAATTTCTTTAAATAATACATACAGTAGAATTTGCTAATATCAATGGCCAAATAAACTTGACCTTAGCTGTTTCTGAGCGATGCAATTCCAATGCCTGATTGATGTATATATGTTTCAAATTAGTATACATAATGATTTGACGACCACAAGATGTCACAACCAAATTACACTGTTAGACCTAGTGCTGTATGTTAAAAAAAAAGAACGAGAAAAGATGGTAAAATGTAACTTACATCAGGGGAATTTATCTAACAGGCTAACATTGACCTTGTCAACCAGTGAGTCAGTGCAGGTAAGACTTACTCTGTGTCGCCCCTATCTTTCTCCTGGGACTTCATGCTGCTCTCTTTGCCTGCTGATTGGCTGCTGGCAGAGCTGCCTCTCCCTGAAGTAGCATACCACTGGAAGCCCTCGTCACTGGGACACACCAGCTGCATCCCCAGGATCCTGAGCGATACACAAACAAATATGTAAACAAAAAAAATACATTTTTATACAAGAATGGATTATTTTTTTCCAGGTTTCTCTCCGCAATCAACATTAATCTTTGATCTCCCTGCCGCGGCGTTTCACACAGGTGTAAAAGGCCATATGGTTGGCAGAAAATGTGGAAAACATACCGAAGATGTGGGAAACGTGTGGCCCACTGCTGACATTCATCCTGGAGCCCCTGGAGTATCCCTCCTCCACTGCCTCTCCCCTCGTACAGCTCCTTGTCGATCTCCTCAAACATTTGCTGTACCTGCCGGGACGCTGCCTTGTCGAACTCCTATGGGACAGAAAAAACAGACAGAGACAAGAAAGCTAGTCACGCCTCTGTTCTCATACACGGCTCTTTGAATGAAAGCTGCTACATTTTAGTCTGTTCATCAGTTATTGGCAACACAGACATTTTTTTAAATCTAATGGCAAGCTTCAATATGCATAATAATTAGCTCCTACAGCCCTTTGGGATATGTGTATGTGTTTGTGGTCAAGCTGTATTGTTTATAGGCTATAACAAAACAACAAGAGAGAGACAGAGACAAAGAGGTTAGTTGGGAGTAAGTTAGATTGCGCAACTGAGTTTTTCTTTTTCTTTTTTCCTCAGAAGCAGCTTGAGGACAACCAACTAAATAAATCATTGAGTCCTGGAAAAGTTTTGTAGGACCAGCTGAGGCTAGTAAGCACAGCATAACAACAAACCAATACCCAGTGGAATCAGGCCTTGCATATTCAAAGAAGTTGCAGACAAACAAGGCATCTAAGGTATGATGCACTGACTGGTTGTATGCTGTTCTGTGGTTTTCCACAGGTTTGCCAAAAGGTGTTACTTAGAGATGTTAGTAAAAGTAAATCAAAAGCTGACATTAAATAACACATGCATGGAAACATTTTGGTTAAGTATTTTCATCTTTACAACAGAATAACAGAGAGGTAGAACAAACCCAATGTTGTGTATGTGTGAACACACTTGTGCATGTATTTTGCGAGACAAACAGAGTAAGGCCGGCATCATCACTTCACATTAAGATCATTTTTGCAGGAGCAGACTTACATCATAGCCCCAGGAGAAAACAGAGCTCCTCTCTGTAGAAATGCCAGTACCCGTGGAGCTGTGGATACCTGACCAGGACTGGTTGGAGTCTACTGAGATGACGGTGGGACAGTCAGAGTGGCCTGAGGCAGCAGACGTCCCTGAGCTACACAGAAAGGATAAGGAAGTTGTCAGGTTTATATACAGTTTGAGAAGACATGTTTCATGTCGGGGATATAGCTCGAAATCTATGTTACCAACACCCCCTGTTCCTTGCTGACAGAATCATAGGCAAGGTTTCAAAGCGGAAAATAAAGGGCAAATGTCAAAGAAATTGAATATGTCAACAGCCCGCCTCATTATTTATTCTTTTGAGTGTACATCTGAAGGAGGCAATATGATATCAATTAATCTACTGCTTCTGAGTGTCTTGTTTCACATATCAAGAGGCCTGAGAATCAGCTGTCCATTCAAGACAGTGTAACACTACAAAATAGACAGGCAAGAGTATGTGTGTGGGTATACTAGTGGAAAGAAGTTCGATGTTCACCTAATTCTGGCATTGCCTGCAAGGTTTGTCTCCTTGCGACCAGGACTCCTGTCACAAGGTTACCTGTTGTGAGCGGACACAGCTTCCTGGAGGTCATGGAGGTAGCGCTGAGGTGTTTGGTTATCGCCTGCTCCCTCTGGGAGAGGGTGGTGGTCGAGGCTGCTTCGGGACAACCCACGACTGCATAAAAGACAGATTGAGAACATAATTCGAATACAGACTAAAAAAAGAGACACACCAGGGTAAAGAGTGAGCTGATATAAACAATATGATGATGATGTTTTATATGACTGTGGTCTTTATTCATCATAATTCTTGTTGATGTATCTGTTTAAATCACCATAGGAGTGGTTTTGAATGTCTTAGCCCTTTAAATACAAATCACTTTACTGCCGGCCATTTTCCAAAGCGTGGGAAAACAGGGAATATTGTTCCTTCAAATGATAATGTGGCTTGGCAGTTAAAACAAAAATAAATGCGTTTTCCAATTGAATTGCTGGACATTATCATTTGCTGTATATTATGTCTGTTTAAACCAGGCGACAGAGCTTGGTGTGACCGATGAATCGTCACTAACTGGATCAATAAAAATATAATTTTACACTGTTATTCGATAGTGATGACAAGTCAATCACTATTCTCACCTAACCAGCCTCTGACAGCAGTGAAAACCTTGTTTACAGTGCTCAGCCCTTCATCCCTGACCCTTTGTGTTCGGTACTCACATCTCGAGTTTGTGTGATACAGGTCTTCTGTTGTATCGTGAAATCATTCTCCCTTTGTCTCCGATTTAAAGGCTCAAGCCCTCGTCTCTCATTCTTGCCTCCACGTCCTGGACTTGCTGGGAACAGTCTAATGTTAGAGGGAGGTCTGACATTTCCTCTAGTCCACAGATAAACACCCTTAGTGCAAGGAAGCTGAACGGGGATTTGGCTACAGATGCTAACGTTGTTTCTAACTGTTAATGTTAGGAGGAGGCTACGTCTAAAAATAAGCTAGCTAATGTTACATGGACGGACAGATAAAACACCAACAAGGCACGAACAGCATTGAATAATTCCTCAAAATACATTTCCTTTTAGATTAGCGTTAACCTTGCTACACTAAATAAGCATCTTGTGTGGCCAGTAGTTGCCAATGAATTAGGTTTACATCTTTAAACAACGTTAGCTATCGCCACCTCAGAAGGTTTGCTTTGCTAATGTTAGCACCACCAACAACAACAATACTACGGCTGTCATGGATACGCAACTTCACGTCCCCGTGGTCTCACGGGAAATAGATTTCGGATAACCTCACAATAGCCGTACACCATTGGCTATTCACTACAACTCCCAAAATCCATTGCGACAACGTGGCTGCGTTGCTAAAATGTGTCCGATGGGGGTGAGGCTAAAATAAAACATGCGTATTGTGTAATTAATTATTTGAATTTTAAACAGATTTGAATGCAGTAGAAATGCGTGCTATTTTCTCTGTAATTTAATCATACTGTGGGTTATTTGTATCTGTAGAATAGCGAAAATTGGTTAATATTAAATGTAGGAACTATTATTTGTTACACCATTGGGATAGTCGAGTAAAACTCACAGTAGGACCAAACAGTGACAGATGGCGTGAAAGCAACGTACGGAGAAGTTAAAAAGTGTTATTGTTTACAGCATTTAAATCTCTCTGGACTTCACTGACATAATATCTCAGAATTAAAAACAAGGTAAGGTCGACCGACACTGTCCTGAATATCAATAGTAATAAGTTGTCAGCGGTTACCTGTGTTATCCAGTCGAGTGAGCCTTCAACTAATGCTTTTACAAATTATACTCCAACTTTCTAGTTCAATCTAGAGACAGTACAAAGATCAATCCATGTATTATTTTCCCACCATACATTTATGTATATCGATGTGGCCTGCTGTCTTTTTATCAGGTCTTTTTAAAAACTGCTACAATGGACGCCCTGCAGAGGAGAGTGGTTCAGGAGGACATGGTTCAGTACAAACTCTTCTTGATCCAGCCAGACGGTTCAACTTCACAGCAGTCTGGGGAACATCTCACACATCTAGTGGAGGAAGTTCTGGCGAAGGTTGCCCCACTCCTGATACAATACATCTGGCAGCATCAGTCATTCAACCTCAAGTATCATCCTGAGAAAGGTATATGTACCTTTTTGAGAGTAAGTGTTATAATGCAACCCACACTAAAGACTGACTAAAGAATTATTTTTATTATTTTTACAGGAGGTGTCCCTGCTCACATTGGAGGTAGCACTCAGTTTGGGGACAATGTGGAGGATGAGTGGTTTATTGTTTACCTCCTACAGCAAATAACAGAAGCCTTCCCAGAGCTTGCAGCCAGGTGAGACAAAACATGTGCTTTGAGTTTGAAAAAAGAATGATTTGATTACCATTTAAAGAGCTCAAATATGGATCACTTTCAGTTGATTGTCATTTGCTTTCTTCTTCTAACTTCCATTTCATGTTTGTGTGTGAAGAGTTGAGGACAATGATGGAGAGTTTCTTCTGATTGAAGCAGCAGATTATCTTCCCAAGTGGCTGAATCCAGACACCAGTGAAAACAGGGTGAGTCAACCAGATGAGGTGGCAGGTGTAAAAATGTTTTAGTTCATGGTTTTTATTCACAGTTTTCATTAGTATGTCTGTTTAAAGGACCATAATAGTGGGTTTGCATGTCTTTGCCCTTTAAGTATAAATCTGGTATACTTCACTTGACTGCCGACCATTTCCCAAAAAATGTAATGATTAATTTACCACCTTCCAAGCAGCCATTGGTTTCAGTTGATTAGGTAAGGTATAAACATCTAATTAGGTTGACTTTAAAAATGTGTTACTTGGGAATCATCCTTCAAAGCTCCCCTTGTGTCCATGTTGAAGGACAATTCATTACATTAAGCTGACGCTTTTATCCAAAGTAACATACAGTTGCTATACAGGTGCTGGTCATATAATTAGAATATGATCAAAAAGTTGATTTATTTCAGTAATTCCATTCAAAAAGTGAATTTTATATTCATTACACACAGACTGATATATTTCAAATGTTTTTCATTGTTTCATTGCATTCAATGTTTTTAATTCAGTATCTCCGAAAATTTGAATATTACTTAAGACCAATACAAAAAAAGGATTTTTTGAAATGTTTGGCCAACTGAAAAGTATGAACATGAAAAGTATGAGCATGTACGGCACTCAATACTTAGTTGGGGCTCCTTTGGCCTGAATTACTGCAGCAATGCGGCGTGGCATGGAGTCGACCAGTCTGTGGCACTGCTCAGGTGTTATGAGAGCCCAGGTTGCTCTGATAGTGGCCTTTAGCTCTTATGCATTGTTGGGTCTGGCGTATCGCTTCTTCCTCTTCACAATACCCCATAGATTTTCTATAGGGTTAAGGTCAGGCGAGTTTGCTGGCCAATTAAGAACAGGGATACCATGGTCCTTAAACCAGGTACTGGTAGCTTTGGCACTATGTGTCTCCATAAAGTTGGTCAGCAGCAGGAAGCATGAAGTGCTCTAAAACTTCCTGGTAGACGGCTGCGTTGACCTTGGACCTCAGAAAACACAGTGGACACTGGACTTCAAGCAACGTGGATTCTGTGCCTCTCCTCTCTTCCTCCAGACTCTGGGACCTTGATTTCCAAAGGAAATGCAAAATTTACTTTCATCAGAGAACATAACTTTGGACCACTCAGCAGCAGTCCATTCCTTTTTGTCTTTAGCCCAGACGAGACGCTTCTGACGCTGTGTCTTGTTCAAGAGTGGCTTGACACAAGGAATGCGACAGCTGAAACCCACGTCTTGCATAAGTCTGTGCGTGGTGGTTCTTGAAGCACTGACTCCAGCTGCAGTCCACTATTTGTGAATCTCCCTCACATTTTTGAATGGGTTTTGTTTCACAGTCCTCTCCAGGGTGCGGTTATCCCTATTGCTTGTACACTTTTTTCTACCACATCTTTTCCGTCCCTTTGTCTCTCTATTAATGTGCTTGGACACAGCCAGCCTCTTTAGCAATGACCTTTTCTGTCTTGCCCTCCTTGTGTAAGGTGTCAATGGTCATCTTTGACAGCTGTCAAGTCAGTCTTCCCCATGATTGTGTTGCCTACAGAACTAGACTGAGAGACCATTTAAAGGCCTTTGCAGGTGTTTTGAATTAATTAGTTGATTAGAGTGTGGCACCAGGTGTCTTCAATATTGAACCTTTTCACAATATTCTAATTTTCTGAGATACTGATTTTGGGGTTTTCATTAGTTGTCAGTTATAATCATCAAAATTAAATGAACACTTGAAATATATCAGTCTGTGTGGAATGAATGTATAAATTATTCAAGTTTAACTTTTTGAATGGAATTACTGAAATAAATCAACTTTTTGATGATATTCTAATTATATGACCAGCACCTGTGTATATATCAGAGGTCGCATGCCTCTGGAGCACTTAAGTGTCTTGCTCAGGGACACGTTGGTGGAAATGTTGCAGTGAGAATCAAACCCCTCCCACACCAAAGGCATGTGTCTTATCCACTGTACCATTGCCACCCCACCAATTCAACTTCAAAGACTTTGAAAAACCAACACTTTTAATGCAAGAAACAGTCATCTTCAACTCATTCAATTTAAAAACGTTCATGCATGCTTATTTTTGGATTTTCTAACAACGTGCAGTAGCTGTCAGAGAAAAAGCTTTTTAGCACTCGACTCAAATCTTGTTGGTGCGTTCTGGAGTGTAAAAAAAAAAGTAAGCCAAATACATCCCACTGAATTATCTCCAATAATCTTACTTATTATTTTCAAGTGTTCAGTTGTCTCTGCTAATTGATATGTACACGTTAATGGAAGATACCAATGGCTGCCTGGATGGAAGAAGAGCGACCTAAAACCTTTTTGTTAACATTAATTGAACATTAGTGTAATCACATTTGTGGGTTATGGAACAACCCCCTTCTAATTATCTTCCTCTTCTCATTGTCTGTACTTACTGTAATTGTAAGCATTCATTGCGCCACTCATTCTCTTTTGCAGGTCTTCTTCTATAGGGGACACCTGCACATTCTGCCCTGTCCCTCCAAATCCAGTCCAGTGGGGGTGTCAAAAGATGTGGTTCCAAGTATGGCACAAGCTCTAGCACTTCTGTCCACCCACCCAGAGGCCTGTCAGGCAAGCCCCAAGATTTGTTCAGCCCTGAGGAAGCGACTAGAGGGGTGAGAGGACATGTTTATGTGTTCAAAGTCTATTTGTAATACATGAATATGTTGCTAAATTAACGTCATACGTCAATATATATGCTTTTCAGGAGGGATGCACTGAACCTAATCCTCAGTATCAATGTTAGTCTATCAAATAGAATTGTATCAAATAGAGTATTGAAAAACATCTTTTGTGCAACCTGCCGCAAAGAAAAGTAGCAATACGTTGCATGATAACAACAATGCCTGAGGTCATATTAGCTCTGTATTTTTACACTACAAATGAAAAAAACAAAAGTCAGAATGGAAGTTTCAAGGTGCAGAATCAGTGTTGGATACAAACATTTGCAGAAGCATACGACCGGCTTGTTAACAGCCTCGTAAGTATTCTGTGTAAGTGGATAAATCCAAGTGGAGATCCATCTGGCATCAGCACATACTGTATATCAATAATTTAAAAGCATATCAATCTCTACTTTCCCCCGTTAGGTACCCAGAGAAGATTACAACCGGCCTGCATCGTGCTCACTGCTTCATACCTGCAGGTATTGCCACAGTGTTAGCACAGCGACCAGACCTGGTCGCCCCTGCAGTGTCTTCCTTCTACCTGCGGGATCCAGTAGATCTACAGGCGTGTCGAAGCTTCAAGACCTTTCCTCCTGATACACGAGTCCTCACCTCGGTAAACCCTCTTAAAGATTCATGATTGTAGCGGTCTAGGCAAAGTGAACAGGTTGACCTGTTTTTAAAGGAAATATTCTTTCAAATTATTTCTTTTTTGTGGATGTATTTATTTCACGCACATTTCTGTAATCACGGTTTGTGTTTTAGTTTTTCATTAGTATATTTCAACACCTTTATGCAAACCGTAACCATGTACTTGTGTATATTTCCAGGTAACATTCACACGCTGCCTGTACGCCCAGCTGCAGCAGCAGCAGTTCAACCCAGACCGGAGGAGCGGCTTCGCCATGCCTCCTCGCTCTCATCCCCAGTACAAAGCTCATGAGCTTGGCATGAAACTGGTGAGCCTACATC